AAAATTTATTAGGGCATAAGCCTGCATGGACCCGAAGAAGCGGGATGGAGTACGCGAAAGCATATGTCTAATAAATTTGTTAGTCTCTAAGGTGCCACAAGTACTCCTGTTCTTTTTGCGGATACAGACTAACACAGCTGCTACTCTGAAAAGAGGTCAACATGTATATCTACATCCTTGTGAGGCTAACGTGTCCTTTCATGACGTTAAATATTCAGGATAGAGGAGGCAGTTAATTTGGGGTCCCACAATGGCTAGAAAATAAATTATATTTTTGACAAATTTTGCAGATGGCCGCTGTTGAAGTTAATGTGGGTAAAGGAGGGAAAGAATCATTAGCCTTTTTCCAGGCATACACTAGGAAAATTGAAGGCTTTATTGTTATATGATGCATTTATTTCTTTTTGAGTGTACAAATAACAATTTTTAGAGTTATTGCATATGGTTGCACCTTTTGCATTTTTATATTGTGTCTACCTTCAAGGTGAAATACAGAGCTGACCAAATTATGTTAGCTGTCTCCTGTTCATGTTTGTGACGTGATCCTGATTTCTGGTCATGCATAAGGATTCCTCATATAGTTCATATGAACAAATTTCATCCTGTTGTTTTTGAGGTGGTCACTTAGATTACCAAACCCACTGCAGACTAGTCAGTCACAGGGTATGCTAGCTGGTTGGATGATTGAAACTTTTTAAACAGGAGAATAATGAATGACACATTTTCAATATCAATCTTTCTACTACAATTCATAAACTTTCCAAATTCATAAACATTTTTGCAGTCTTCCACATATTCTAAAAGCAACCCCATGAACAACAGTGGAGTGAAGAGAAACAGTTATTTGCTTTAATTGTGATTTTTTGAGATGTGATGCAGATGTGTATTCCACTTAGGTATGTGCACACCCAGCGCACCAGAGCTGGAGAATTTTGCCTAGCATAATTCTCATAGGAGGACAGCGCTAGCGCCTTATGGCTAGAGCCCCTTCCCTGGCTATATGAGGCAGCGCCATCCGACCCTCCTCAGTTCTTTCACATTGAATAGCCAGAGAGTAGACCCTGATGCAGAGGAGACAGAGGGTGGGTCGTGGAATAAACATCTGCATCAAATCTTGAAGAACCACAGTTACAGTAAGTAACTGTTTCTTCTTCAAATAGATGCAACCATGTATTGCCTTTAGGTGACTCACAAGCAGTACTCCCACGGCATTGGGCTCGGAGTCTAGCTAAACAAGGACCAAAGGACTGCCTTCCCAAAGTTTGCATCTGCTCTGGATGCCACGATAATGGCATCATGGTTTGTAAACATATGTATCGACAACCATGCATTAGTCCTGCAAATATCCAACAGCAAGATGTCACTTAATAACGCTATTGACATAGCTTGTGCTCTTGTAGAATATTCTCGCTCCCGTAGCGGGTGTGTAGCCAAAGCCATTCATATTCAGTCTTGATGCAGGAAGTTATCCGCTTAGAAATCCTCTGTGAGGAGACTGCCTGTCCCTTCATATAGTCTGCATACAACATAAACAGATGAGGTGACACCGGAAAAGGTTTAGTCCTGTCCAGATAGAAGGCCAGAATCGTCTGATGTCCAGAGTGTGAAGACGCTGTTCCTCCTCTGGCAATGAATACATTTAGGAAAAAATACAAGTAAATATACCACCTGGTTTCAATTAAAGACACATGAATGGATGAATGAAAGACTGAGAGCGCCGATAGATGCTAAGCAAAATGCTGAGCTAAGCAAAAGGCCCGACCACTGAAGATGCAGCAAATACTCCAAGATGTCAAATACTCCAAGATACTAGCCAGCATCAGCTGAACTCTGCGGGCCACATTGAAAAACACTTCCCCTTTGCCGAATAGGCTATCCTAGTAGAGGGTTTTCTATTACTGAGTAGGACCCTGTCAAACAACCACCGAGCATTTCTCTTCCTTATTCAACCATAGAGCAGCCACGCCATGAGATGTAGAGAGCTGAGCGTGGGATGCAGAGTGTGACTGTGATTCTGCATGAGCAGGTCAGGATGGACAGGAAGGGATACGGGAGGCTGAATCGACAGTGTGAGGCGGTCGGAAAACCAGCACTGCTTTGGCCATGCCGAGGCAATGAAGATGAGTTTGGCCCCTTATACTTTCAACTTGAAGATGACCTGTGGAATGGTTGGAGTTGGAGGAAAAGTTTATAGAAGAGCCGACTGCCAGATGAGGTGGAAGGCATTGGTCACGGAGCCTGGACTGAGGTCCCCTTGAGAGCAGAACAGCCAGCATTTCCTGTTGACCCTTGTAGCAAACAGGTCGCTCGATGGGAAGCACCACGCTGCAAAGATGACTCGCAGAACACTGGGCTTCAAAGACCACTTGTTGAGGGAAAAATTCCTGCTGAGATGGTCTGCAAGATGATTCTGGACCCCAGGCAAGTGATTGGCTATTGGAGTTCTACTCCTGTCAATGCAAAACTGCCACAACCTGATCGCCTCTTGGCAAAGTACCCTGGAGTGTGCTACCCTTTGCCTGCTCACATACTACATTCCCGGCCCCAAGTATGCCAGTGCCAGAAGTGGTGTGGACCCCGAAGTCAGCAGCAGTACCAAAACAGCTGATGGTGCCGAGGTGAAGGATGGTGAAAGTCACCCTGGTAACATTTGCAGTGCCAGCTGCAGTGGTGCTGAGAAGTTTCCTGGTGCCCAGGACTCTTGCACTGAGCCCGGTACTGGTCCTGTTTCCACAGACTATGGAAGGGGAAATACTGTCTGCAGTGCCAATAGACCCGAGGGTTCAGTGGCCCGTCCAGCCAACAGGGCTATAAACAATGCAGTCCTGGACCAAAGGAGAGGTCAAGATGGAAAGTCAGAGGAGGATGGTAGCCACTTGGTACGATGCCAATATGAAAACAGTCAGTGCTGGCATCTCCCTCGTCAGTACCGAACTCAATAGATACCTCGGGGCCAGAACTGGAGTTGACGATACAGGTCTCTAATGCCCCTACTCAGTGCCGGGGAGCAGTTAGAGGCATCCACACCATCCCATGCGCCGGCACTAACTCCATGCCAGTCCACGCTCTTCCTGGGGGAGGCAGAAGAGTCCATGAGACCTGGAACAGTCTCAATTTGGTATTATGTGAACTTTTTCCTCAGCACACTCAACAGAGAATGGCTCCTTCCCCTCCCCCCCCTGCTTCAGAGCACGAGGCAGTAGCACTCTTGGATCCCAAGGGTGATGACCTCTGATCTGACAAGGCCCTCAGTGCTGAAGCAGGCCACATGGCCTGTTTGCTTAAAACAACACATGTTCAAAGTTCCCTATCCACCTGAGTGCGTTTCATGAACAATCTACAGACCGAACACTGCTCCTTGACATGGGCCTCACCCAAGCACAGCAAAGACTGTATGTGGGGATCATTATTAGGAATCGCTCCCACACACAACAGGCAATGTGTAAACCTTGGTGAGGGCATCACAGGGGAATACTTAACTACATGCAACTAACTCTAATCTAAGGTTATGACTAATTACATACAACTAGAAAAAACACTAAATTAGTGACAGAGTGTGAGGTTAAGACCACACACAGCTCCAACTCCAGCCTGGGTAGTAAGAAGGCTCTGAGGGGGGTTGGAATGGTGCCGCCACACATAACCAGGTGAGGGACTATGGCTGCAAGACGCAAGTGGTGCCCCTCTATTGCTCCTGCTAGGCAAAATTCTCCAGCTCCAGTGGCCTGGGCACACTCACACCTAAGTGAAATACATCACTGCAGCTACTCTAAGAAGAAGCCCAAGTTTACGCATGACATCATTTGGAAATATTTTCATATTTGTCTTTCTACTTTGAAATCTAAGGGTAGGAATGCCTTCCTTCACTTCACCCACTCTTCCCTTTCCATCTGTCTTGTATCCTAGGTTGGGCACCCCTTCTCCAACATACTTTTACTGTGCTACTCTTGCTTCAATCAACTTGCTGTTTTCAGTGGATGGGCAGCATCCTCTTTTGATAGTTAACTGAGGTTTTCAGGAAGCGTGAGCTTTGAGTTGAGCTTTAGGAAGAAGAATAGCCAGATGTCAGCTCCGTAACCAATCAAAACAGTAGCAGCTGCCTTGACAAGTTTCTGGCCTTGCTATTGTAATGTTTTGTTCTAGGTATTATTTCGCATTTGTAAACATTCATGTGGATATTGTTGGGATGAAACAGACAGCCAAGATGTGAATGCTCACTTAAATTTGTAATATCTCATTGAATAACTCATAACCTTATTTTGTTCCTAGGACTTAGAAGAATTTTGCTTCAGGTTTTGTATAAACCACTTGACTGTGGTTACACAAACGACAGGCTTTGCAGAAATGGACCATGACCTCTTGAAGAATTTCATTAGCAAAGCAAGCAGAGTAGGAGCATTTAAAAACTGAAGAATGCTTGCTGCAAAGGAAGATACTTTCATCATGGGAACACTTCCCCTTTGAAAAACTTATCAGCACTCAGAATGCCTGAAAGAAAACAGGACAACATCCAGTAAAGTCAGTGTCACTGTTGATGGGCAGATTTAGTAAGCTTCCAGGTAGCCTAATGCACAAGCTTTGTGCAGATGGGTATGGTATAGATAAACAATAGATATAAACAATCTGCCAACAACTTAGGTTTAAAAAAAAAATCCTAATGGAATAATTAAGTTTTCCGTTAAAATCAAGTGGACTGGTCACTGTTTTCCATTTGTATTCCTTGTTTTCTTCCTTGAAATATTTTCAAAAACAGTTCTTTAACATCTTCATCTGAGTTTACTGGATAGCATGAAGCTGGCTGTTGCTAAAGCTTCATTATGACACCTTTAAGGTCAATCAAAGTGTGCTACAAGAAGGTTCCTTTCTGGTTAATTTCTCACACCCTCTAGAGAAGTGTTGAGATAGACGCTTGTTTTGCTAAAGATAGGATAAGGGAGTATATCATACAAATCCCTCTTAAACGAGCCCCTAATGTAAAGAAAAAGCCACTGAATGGATACTTTGTAAATTAGGAGCAGCAAAGGCTCAAGAGAAGACTATGCTGAATTTATTTAAGTATGAAGGACTTATTTTAAAGGGCTAGTTTTGAGTTCTTGGCTCTTAAAGTCATTTTCTCAGACGAAAAAGAATTCCCAGGGACTTTACCTCACCTTTCCAGTGGAACAGTAACTTCTAATTGGTTTTGTCACATAATGAGTTATTTCACTGTTAGTTTTGCTGCTCAGAAACACACCTCTTCACCTGCCATGAAAAAGAAACTCAACAAAAAGGAATTATCAGTTGACTTTTCTACTGGTATTTACAGATAAGACAGGTACTTGACATGAATTATGTGTGGGGGAGGAGGGATAGGGAAAGTTATAAATCAATTCAATGATGAAATCATGAAAATTAAACTCAAAGTCTTTTCAAGTGGTAACCAGGTGCCATTCAAACACTTGCTAAAGCAATAGGTGGAGGAGGTTTCAGTATGCTAATGCTTGCGTGGAAAGACTTTTGCACTGTGGTACAGGATGCTGAGATTATAAAATGTTTATCAGTTTTGGTTTCTGTTATGATACAGAAGACTAATTTGCGTGTAAATTACTTAATCTAATTTCTGTTAAAAGAACAGGTGAACTGGCTTTAAAAACTGATGAGCCAGTGGTTAGGACACGACCCTAGCCTTGCTCTGTCATAGACATCCTATGTGCCCTTGGGCACGTCTACACAGCAGCTGGGAGATGTAATTCCTAGTTCTGGTTCCATACAGCTGCTAGCTCTGCTCCAGTTAGCACCTAAAAATTGCAGTGTGACCATCCTGGTGTTACCCCAAAAACAGACCCACGGTACCACCAGAATAGCTTATCTATTGCCCCCTCCTGGGTTTAGCAGAGGTTCCCTTCCAGGTAGCCTCCTAATTTATTACTCTGTTTCTGCAGGGTGAAAGGGGACCTGTCCTAGAGGAATTACTCAGGTTTACTAACAGTTCCTTTTTAGGCCAGGTCTACACTACCCCCCTAATTCGAACTAAGGTACGGAACTTCAGCTACGTGAATAACGTAGCTGAAGTTCGAAGTACCTTAGTTCGAACTTACCTTGGTCCACACTCGGCAGGCAGGCTCCCCCGTCGACTCCGCGGTACTCCTCTCGCCGAGCTGGAGTACCGCAGTCGACGGCGAGCACTTCCGGGTTCGACTTATCGTGTCCAGACTAGACGCGATAAGTCGAACCCAGAAGTTCGATTGCCAGCCGCCGAACTAGCGGGTAAGTGTAGCCAAGGCCTTAGAAAAACTCCCCAGAATATCTTAGACCAGTTACCCTTGGGAGGATACAGCCTTGGATACAGCCTTCCAATAGAATTGCTAGATACACAGGCAGTACTTTTCCAAAACAAAGTATCTTTTATTACAGTAGCACACTGATGATCCCTGGCTACAATGTAATCTAAGCATAAAGCTCTGGAAATAAATCCCTTAACACAATTTCTTAATACAGATTTAAAAATATCCCAACTGCAATGTCATACAATTAGAACAGTATTAAGTGTTGCACTCTGCATACAGTGATCAACCATGTGCTGTCGCTGACAGCAATCTTAAATCTTCAACTTTATACATCTAAAACAATGTAACATTCATAACACACACCTTTATTAACCCAGACAAACATACACAGGCTCATTAATACTATTTCTGTTCTGTATTTGCACTATACCTAGCACTCTTACTCGCTGTAGGCATCTTTCCCTCTGCTCTCTCAGGGTCCATTCTGTTCTATAGTGCTGCCAATATAGTTACAGGGATAGCTCAGTGGTTTGAGTATTGGCCTGCTAAACCCCGGGTTGTGAGTTCAACCCTTGAGAGGGCAACTTAGGGATCGGGGGCAAAATCAGTACTTGGTCCTGCCTAGTGAAGGCAGGGGGCTGGACTCGATGACCTTTCAGGGTCCCTTCCAGTTATAAGAGATAGGATATCTCCATTTATTATTATAATTCTTCCCCAATTTTTAGCTAATGGTGGCAAAGTGATGTTTTTAGTGCTGTGCTTAGGAAACAGAAGAGAGCTGCTCAAAAATCTCTAGTATCACTGGAATGAGCAGTGGCTTGGGCTAGTCAGCTGAGAATAAGCCTACCCATGCCCCTGGGTACGTACTTGGCTAGCTAGCCTGAGCTGCTGTGGCCACAGTTATTTTTAGGCACTAGCTCACGCAGAGCATGTACAGCTACTCAAGCTGGAAATAACTTCTCCCAGCTGCTGGGTACAGGTACCCTTAGTCTATGTCTCAGTTCTGTCTCTGTCAAAAGGGGATAATAGCACTTCCCTACCTCAATTTCCTGTGAAATGAAAATTTGGGCATCTGCACTCTACTAAATAGTCTGCATTCAGCGACTAAGGACACAAGGATGCATTTGTAGATGAAAACCAATTCTTAGCAGTATCGATCACCCTTTAGTCTCTTCGCCATGAGCATTATTTCAGTTCATGCTGTGCACACCAAAGCTTGGGCTGGTTTTTTTCAGGCAGCTTTTTATTAGTAGTAACCATGTGGGACTAACTCTTTGAGAGAACTTCTCTTCAGTGATGTCTGTTTTGAGGATAAAATGCAGACATCTTGGTTTGTTCATTCAATGAGGATTTTATGCATTTAATTCTTGACCTGGACAATTTAATAGTATATTTATACACTGCTATAGGCACATGTAGTAAAAATATATTTATTTAGCTTTCATTCACATTACTCATTAAACAGCAACAGAAGATACTTTCCTTTGCACTTAAAGGTCCAGCCTTCAGAAGTGCACTGACTTGATGGTTGGAAAACAAAATGTGTGTGTGTTTATACAGGTGCATGCTTGAACAGCAATGTGAGGACACTAAATCCAGCCTGGGCGGTAACGGTTTTATATTTTTTTGTTTTTGATGATTGAGGATGCTGCCACCACCACTCCTCTTGATCTTGGAATTGGATCCATTGTTAGCCAGTATTAAATGTGTTTCCGGAGACTCCAGTTCAGACAGCAATGAAAAAATATTTGTAGACATTTGGGACTGTAATCCTAGACAGGTGAGGTATTCATTCGAAAACTTGACTGATGGCCTAAAATATCCTTGGACAGCTGAATAAGAGACTCCTCCAACTAACCACTGGGGAAAAAAGGTAAATAAATATTTCTTGAATTAAATGGAACTTAAAAGGAATAAAATAAACTACTAAAATAAAGGGGCTATCACAGTGATTGATGTTAGTAGGTTCAGCCTCATGGTATTTTCTAGGACCCACCTTTAGAATGATGGAGCTTTATTACAAAGCATGTTCACTGTGTAAATTGCTGTAGTATATAAATGCTTTTTATATAAACTGAAGATAATTGTTTCCTTGGGATTACTTTGTAAAATAAAACCTTTATCCATTAGCATGACAAATTTTGCTTGACCTCTAAGGATGTATAATGTTTGTAGCCCTACCATAATAAAATATCCAGCCAACTTCAGATTTCTGTAAAAACTCTTATGGCTTAATAGACAACTAATAAAACAGTTATATTTAAGATCTTAGCCTTTGACCTGTTTACTTTTTATTACAATCTAAAGCCTACATCAGATTGCTTCGACCATTCTTAAACAGCTGTTTATTACTTCCTTATTAGCACGTTGTGGGGATGAGGGGAGAGAAATAGGTAACGTACAGGGTAAAGATTATAGTTTAAAGACCACAGTCTTTTTCTAAGGGTTCATTTGCATGTGGCAAGTTGGGGTGAAAATCTACCCGTGCACTAACCTGCTGCACACTAGGTATCGGTGCAGACCCTGCTGTTATGCACTAGAAGTTCCATAGTGCCCTTTGAACGACTCCTCTTTCAAAGTGGGGTAGGATCGCTGAGTGCTACAGAACTTTAGTACCCAGCAGCAGGCTAGGGAGGGGTAGATTTATAGCCCAGCTTCCTGGGCGGTGGGAGGGGGGGAAATGACTAAGTGTTTGTATAGACAAGCCTTTAAAGAAATGACTGTTAGACTCATAAGCAGCAATAAAACCAATATCTGCACAAAAATGGGGGGAATTTGACAGGAAAACAGATTTCAAGCCTTTCAAAGAAGTTAATGCAGTAGTGAAAAAGAGTGATTGCAACTAGATGAAATGGCTTCTGTGTTTTTGACATACCACTTCTGCTTGGTAAAGAAGGTTTGTTTGTTTTTTTCAGGATACCTATATAAACTAAACTTGTTACATTTTAAAATATTCATACTGCATCGTGTGCTGGTTTCTTACAACAACACAACCTTCTACAGGTTTCCCACCGTTTCATGCACTTTTATAATTGGGTTCTTTCTTGGCCTGCAAATAATTGCAGTAACTCTCACAGACTCAAGTGGGTGCACATGCTGTTTACTTAGACTTGTCTAGAGTACCAGTGTTTTGGAAATACAAAATTCTTCATGTATAGATTTACATGAAAGAGCTGAAGTTGAAGAGGAACATAAATAACTGAATACAGTTTTTTATATTCTGTTTCAGTAATAGTTAATCTGAGAAGTTACTCTGACCTTTAAAACACATCATATCAGGAAATAAGAGGACATAAAGAAGGGACCCAGACATGGTTAAAACTGCAGAGAGAAAAGGTCTCTAGTACTATTGTTTGTCCAACTTTGGATCCTTTTCCCTTTCTGGAATAAACTTTCGAAAACACTAGATCATTTTGAAGAGCTGTGTGTGAAGCAGTAATAAAAGTACTAATCGCAAATGTCATAACCTTTCAAAATCCTCTAATAGCAATTGGAGCATTTACTGTAACTCACCGGAAATATCAAATGTACTGCTTGGAAATTGTATCCTGACAGTTAATATGGTAGTTTCTGTAAACTGGAGATAAGATATTTTGCTGAAAACGTTTATGTTTTTAGGTGAAGGTTCGGGTTAAAGCAGTCAGAAGAGTGACAAATTTTGCTTATAGCACCCAGGGGCAATTTAAAGTCACATGTACTGATTTTACAAACATTCTGGTCAGCACTGCAAAGCTAGCATAGCAACAAACTTTGTATCCAGTCAAACCTTACTGAGGCCTGGTCTACACTAGGCGTTTATGTCGAAATTAGCGCCGTTACATCGAATTAACCCTGCACCCATCCACACCGCGAAGCTATTTAGTTCGACATAGAGGT